TTATTTCTTATTTTTATTCCTATTTTTTTCTTATTTTATTCTTATTTTTTCTTATTTCTTATTTTTATTCCTATTTTTTCTTATTTTATTCTTACTTTTTCTTATTTTTTATTTTATCTTATTTTTATTTTAATTATATCTTATTATTTTTATTTTACTTGGATCAATTATTTATTTCTGACTCGTTTCACTTCTTATTCTAATAAAGTTCATTTTGATGTTCGTACACAGTACTGCAAGCAGAACATTCAAAGCAGGACTTCCGAGATTACACAGAGATATATCCCTGCGTAAACGAACGACGAATTGCGCTGCAGTCACTTTCGCAGACGAAGTAAACAAACTTCTGCAGTAGTGACTGCATAAACGAATGCACCCAAAAGCTTCGAAGCGTTTGATTAACCAATCAAAATAAAAATTTTATGAATTGGCCAATCAAAAAATGCTTCGAAGCATTTGTAGCACCAAGTGGACTGCACCTCTATTGAAGATTTCGGTGGAAACTAGACTATTGAGAAGATAAAAGGGACTTCTATTAAATAGAGAAAAAAGCAATTTTTACCTTAATATTATTGAATGTTCAAAATTATTCGATTTGCATTATCAGTTTGTCAGGAGTATAGCCTAAAAAAGTATCGTTTAAGTTGAAAATTTGGTAATACTACTCGCCGAGTTGATCGGCAAAATTAGTTTATTGGTGAGTTTGGTTGTCGATGCAAATAATAATTTGAATCCATGAAGATGAATGTCGAAGAGAAGAGACTCAGGACATTTCGCGAGTGGCCAGCGAACGCTGCGGTTGATCCGGTGCGTCTTGCGAAAGCAGGATTTTATTATACCGGACACATTCTGGAAGTACAATGTTTTTTATGCGGAACAAAAATATCTGATTGGAATTACGGTGATCAAGCTATGGTCCGTCATCGATTAAAGGCACCTAATTGCCCTTTCGTCCGTGATTCAGCCAGCACATGCAATGTGCCATTGATACCAGTAGCTGACAATACCACTGCAGTAGAATCGACAACACAAAGTCGACAATTACTGGATTTGCAACAATCTAATAGTGTTGGAAACAATTCAAGTATGGTACAAAGGCCAATGGATCCTTCAAAGGAATATAGCACCATCACGCAGAGACTATTGTCATTTAACAATTGGCCGATAAGTAGCATTGTTCATCCGGAGCAACTAGCCTTAGCAGGATTTTACTATCTTCAATGTGAAGACATGGTAAAGAAATGACTATGAATATATATAATGCACCTAACATAATGTTTTATATATTATATATGTTTTTTATCTTTGCATAATATTTTGTATAAATAACAGGTGGAATGCGCATTTTGCAGAGGTATCTTAATGAATTGGAAACCTGGTGATGATCCAGATTGTGCGCACAGATTGAGTTTTCCAAATTGTGATTTCTATATGAGACGAGATACAGAAGATGGTACATTGTCCTTTTAATAATATGAGATTCATATTTAATTTTATATTTTAATTGAACATATTTGTTTATATTATCAATTATATTTATTATGATTTTATTTTTGATAGATCTTTTAGGCTTAGTTAGAGTCATACCTGAGACTATAACAAATATGACAGAATTAGGAATACAAAGACATAAGGCACCTCAAAGGCCAGAATATACAACATATGAGAAAAGATTGCAGACTTTTAGAGGATGGCCGAAAAATCTTAAGCAAACTCCAGAGATGTTAGCTGAAGCTGGATTCTATTATGGCGGTCAGAATTATCACAATTATTTATTTGTCTTTTTAAATTTGTACTATTAAATTTCTTTTATAAAATATTTCTTTTATAAAATTTTTCTTTTAGTAGATGTTTTATTATGTGTCTGATATAGGATATGAAGATCAAGTTAGATGTTTTCACTGCGATGGAGGGTTACGATATTGGCAACCAACGGACGATGTATGGGTTGAACATGCACGGTGGTTCTCAAATTGTGGTTTTGTAAATCTTATCCGTGGACACGAATTTGTGAAATATTGCATAAATAATAGAACACCTTTGGATCTTTCGGTAATTATCTTATTTCATCATTACATCTACATTTTTATAAGATAATTTAATTATAAGGTATCAAATCTATTAAACAAAATCAAGAACAATATTTCTCTCTTATCTCTTATTAATAATTTTTCAATGTTGAAGTAGAATCCTATCTTAGAAAACGTTAGAATATGACACATTTATAGATTTTATTTCTTAGAATGATCAATACTACAGTCTCCCAGAATATCGATTTTTCCTCCTGAGACACCTTACATACACACATATACTTTATATATAAAACATGTGACATTTCTTTCATTTTGTTTATTATGTGTGCGTGTGCGCGCGTGCGTGTATTTTATATATATATATATATTTTTTTTTTTATTTGTTCACTATATATGTAGATTATTACTGGTATATCAGAAGAAGATAATGCTGCAGAAACTTCGATTGAATCTCTTTCTTCAATTCCACAATCTAATGAATCAGATGCAATGGCATCTGTGGCAGATGTCGCGGCAACATCAATTACATCTCTTCCTACAATTTCACAACTTAGTGAATCAACAACAGGTACAATAGCAGATGCCGCAGAAGCTACAGTTGTATCTTTACCTACAATTTTACGATCCAATGAACCAATAACAAATGCAGCTGTTGAGAAGCTCTTAGAGACAGTCCCAGCTAAGGTAAGAAAGATAATAAGATTATATGTATTATAAATTATATATATATATGTATATAGATTATATATTGAAATTATCAAGATGCTATTGAGATTATAGATTATATTGAAACTTTATGTTGAATAAAGTAATATTGATGAAATTGGAACATTGGAAAGGGCGAAAATCTTTGCTAAAAATTTGAAAATGTATTTGTATATATCTAATTACAGAGTAACTCTAAAATTTGACCCAGGCCCTATATCTCAGAAACGGCTTTAGATGGAAAAATGTTTCAGATAAAAGTTGTAAGATATTAAGGGGAGCATATGAAAATATGGACCTTAACTTTGAGAGACATTCTCAAGGCTAAGACAATGTGACCAATGTTTTCTTAAATGAAACCTTTCATTTTTTATTGCATATTCTTGTAGCTTATCTCAAGAGCGTTTCAAAACACTATAATAAAGTATTTTTTCATTAAGTACTTTCTGAATTGTGAGATGTGAGAATTGTGAAGTGTCAAATTTGATGTACAATTTGATGTAAAGTATAAAATATCTCGTAAACTATTCGTTTTTTGGCAACTATATCTTGATATTTTTATGCATAGAATAATTAGATGAATCAGTTGGTGTAAAGAAAATACATAGTTGTTTTTCAAAAAGAATACATCATTGCATATTGTAAATCTCCATTTTTTACTTTCAAAAAATATAAAAATATAAAGTTATTTAAAAAAAGTAGTAAATATTTATAAATTGTAAGTTGCATAATTTTTTTAGCTATGAATTTTTTTTATATCAATTAATTTATCTCATTCCTGTTGTATATTCAATAAAATTACATAATGGCTGTAAACCACTTAAAGAATATTTGTATCTAATACACAAATCTGGAGAGCATAGTTAGTGCCATTGGGTGCTCATTGAGCGATTGTGCTATTGGATGCATTCAATATAGTCATGTAATCTCTACAATTTTGTCTGAAACATTTTTTTTTCTAAAACGTATTGTTTTCAAGATATTAAGATTTCCTTCAATATAATATTTTTCACATATTAAGATTAATTAATAAGATTAATTAATATAAGATTAGTTTAATCAGATAATCTACTAATTAGATAAGATTAATTTATATGACTTTGAATATAGACTGCCCTTGAAATTGGATTACATGTAGGTAGAGTAAAGAGAGCTCTGAAGAAAAGAATGGAAAGATTTGGTAAACCATACACGGATGTTGTTCAACTCATACAAGATGTTCTGCACGATCAAGTTCTGGAAGAGGATAATGGGTATGTAAAACATAGATATGGCATAATAAATATAAATTAAAATCAAGATATTGAGAATTAAGATTTTTCTCTTCTTTAGATGTGATAATGGTACTTCTGATTCCCCAACTTCAGAATTGAATAACTTATTTAATCAAGTTACTATGCAAATAGCTAATAATTCTACAAACAAAAATAATGCACAAGAATCTGACGCATTCGAAAAAGAAGTCGAAGAAAGGAAGAGGGATAATGAATCAGATGATCTTAGTAAGTAACAAATGAATATAATAATATAAATTATAATTTATATTTATACGTGACATATATAAATGAAGTGTTTCTTTTCCACGAATTATTTTTTCCTCATTATCACGCATTATATATCATAATTTAAAATACATCTTTGAATTTTATCAATGCAAACTTATCTTCAAATTAATTGATATCATTTCTTAATGCAATTTTCTTTTGTTTGAAAGATGTCTCTCGCATCACATGTATAAATAATAAAAAAGAGATGCGCACACATGTATCTCACATTCAAATGTCACATTGTTTTTTTTCAGTGTCTTTGCGAGAAGAGAACAGAAGATTAAAGGAAGCCCGTTTATGCAAAGTTTGTATGGATCACGAACTAGCCGTAGTATTTTTACCTTGTGGCCATTTAGCAACATGCAACAACTGCGCACCGGCTCTTGCGAATTGTCCTTTATGCAGACTAGGAATTCGTGCTTATGTTCGTATTTTTTTGTCTTAAATTTCTTGTCCAAATATTGTACATATACATCATTTAAGTCTATTCGAAAGAGGACGAAGATCGATTAGGAAATAAAATTCGAGCCATTTCTTCATTGCAAGATATTTTATATTAGACATGTTATTACATATGTAATTTGCATTTAAATATATTTTTTTATCAATTTTACTTTGAAACGGCAATAATATAACATTGCACTTTATGTGAAAAGATATCATGTTTCATATATCTCGGATATATCTCGACTGATTCTTCTAAAATAGAATCAAAGAAAACTCTAACTTGACGAGCCAATTGCAATTATGTATGTCTTATGCTTACTTTTTTTTGCACTGTCGAAATGTTTTTATATAAATAAATGTTATATTAAATTATTGGCTCGAAGATAACTGTTATATTATTTAATATTTTCAAAGAGAGTATGCGTTAAGTACATTTAAAAATATAGTTGATAAAAAGTGTTAAATCGATAATACTGTTTATTTAATAAGTATAATTATATTAATAAGACGGACATGAAATCTTTGTAATGTAGCTTTCTTTAGAATTTAGTCATAATCTTATCAATAAGATGAATAAGGACTGGAAACTTTTTAACAAGGCTTTATTTAAATGACTTAAAACGAATTTATCAGGATATATAAAAGAGGCACAATCTCGCCTAATGCTGATATAACCCCACCATATGTCAGATTGCGATAAAATCTATATGTCAATATGTTATATATCAATGGTGTCTCACTGATAGTATATCTCGCAGACAGAATCCAAAGCTATAGTAATTAGTGTTATTGCGTTTGCCGAAGGTAAGTACAAACGACATAAAAAGTGATTGAACAAAACAATATATTTGTGCTAATTTCTAATTCTAACATAGGTCTAAGAATAAACTCGGCCAGAATCGTCCCAAAGAAATGAAAAATAAAGAATATTCATATTTAGATAATTTCGCACTTTGTCAAATGCAAGAATAATATAAATGTGATATTCGCAATATTTATTGGAGCAAAAATTGTATAGTAATTAGATGTTATCTAAATGTTATATATCGAAGACAATATTTTATGTACAGTTTGATGATTGCAAAATAGAAATCTGTTGTGAAATCGATGTCACGTGTCGTGTGTACACTTTTTAAAATATAAAAGCATTTTTACACACGTATCTCGAGTCATTCTTTTAGTTATTGTTGACTCGATAGGATTTTATCAATTCAATTCACATTCCTTAACTTCACTACATACTCAACAAATAATCGGATAACTGGGGTACAGTTTCCACTCACATTGATATTAAGCGATTTCTGAAACTGCCATTAACAAAACATCTTTTATGTCCATTAATTTTAATCTCTTTTTACTTATTCTCTTTTTATTCTTTTCTAATTCATAAAATTAAAACAAGATTTAAAGTAAATTAAATCCTTAAATTAATTTATTGTTAAATTTAATGTGATTGATCAATTCCAATGGAATAATTGGCTAATTAAATTAATCAAAAATGGTGAAAAGCTCTAAGAAAATTAAAGTTAATCTTCTTATTCTTTCGTATAGGTGAAAAATATTTATTAAATTCGAAAAAATAAACGGAGACCGATTAAATTTGAAATCGGACCCTCACTTACTACCAAACACTTAGGGTACCGTCAAGGGCTTGGTGGGGACTACAAATGCTTTGAAGCATTTTTTGATTGGTGCATTAGTAAAATTCTTTGTTTTGATTGGACAATCAAACGCTTCGAAGCATTTGTAGTGTTACATTGACCTAGCCTTAGTCTGCACGACCGCGACGGATCCTCTCTATTAGCTGTTTATAATCTGAATTTCTTCATGATCGCTTACGGTCGTCTATTTCTTACATAGGCCTTTTAAGGCCTTCTACCTCACTCTCATAGTTATATTCAAAGTTAATCTACGTTACTAAAAATATATTCGATTAAAATATGTTTACCTCTTGTTCAACTTCGTGTTTGTATTCCAAAATTTCATAAATTTAATGATATAATAATAATTGTTTGTAGTTTTCTAACGCTTTAACATCCCCTATATCAAGGTCATTGACCAGAACTATTCCCCCCACTACTATCCACGGTGTCAATAATAGCTTTATATTTCGAATGAAGATGCGATTCGTTCTGAGACAGCCCTCGACTGTTTCCAGGGTTCACACGTGTCAGAAATAAAATTCACTATCCCGGTTTTTCTTTTTCTCTCATTCTTTTCCGCCGTTTCAACCAAATGTGAGTTAGCGCCGTTTTTTTTTTCGGGATTTTCCACGCGATTTTAACATTTGAACCAATCGTTTTGCGACGCCAAATCACGCTTGAGTCGGCCTGCGGGTTTTTGTTCTTTCGGCTGGCAAGTGGGGAGCAACTTTGTAAAGTTGTTGACGGATAGTTCGGATAGTTGGTTGTACTTGACGTACCGACGACATATTATCACGTTTGGGGAGGACGATCCCAGCTCATCGTATCTCGTGGCAGAGTTTCGCACGAGACTTTCATTCCATCACGTCATCGCGGTTATTAACGCGGAAATACCGGCGGTGGAATAAGCGGATGACATTGCGGTACGTAAACGTGCCGAACGAAAAAAGTAGCTCTGCGAAAAGAAGTGCAAATAGGAATAGATAAGATTATCTGTCTTCCACTTCTTTGTTTACCCCCCCCCCCTATTTTCTGTTATTCACGCATGTGTCAATGTGATAAAGTCGTATCGATTTCCACAAAAGATTGGCTTCTCCACCTATTATCTATCTTTCTCTTTCTTTTTGGCTGCGTTCCGATATTTACTGCCAGTACTGAAAATATGTAGTTCATGTCACGTTATTATAGATTTTCAGTACTGACAGTAAATATCGGAGCGTAACTTTTGTGTTGAGTGTTCGACATACGCTGCCCTTTCTTTCATCATTTCCGCTCGTAGCATGCAAATAATTCACGCACATGCATACACTATTTTGTCACATGGCATCGATTCCTTCTTTCTCTTTCGCACAAAGATACAGTTTGCTACGAAAGATACAAAAAATCTCTCCGTTGCTTCCATTCATTTCTCTTTCGCTTATTCTTTCTTAGGGTATATTTCGAACGGTGATAGTTGGCTTATTTTTTCTAGATATTGGTTGCCATATAACTAAACCGAGCAGTGTTCCGAATCCATCATAACTTGCAAAGATGTTGAAGATGTTTCATTTGGAAATTCAAGACCATAAGTAATTCAGGATATGTTTCATTTGGAAATTCAAGATCGTAGTAATTCAGGATATTTTTGTTTCTGCTTAATCAAAAACTTTTCTACATATGAAAGTTCTGAAAATATTAATTATGACAAAAATGTTGTTACTACAATGTTATTATAATACTTACCATTATGAGCCAAATCGTAGATATTTTTTGTTACTACAAAATTATATATTTTATTACTATGGTCTTGAATTTCCAAATGAAACATCTTCGACATCTTTGCAGGTTATGATGGGTTCGGAACACTTTTCGGTTAGTTACATAGCAGCCAACATCTAGAAAAAAAATAAGCTAAACTATTATCGTTCGGAATATACCCTTATTTGTTAAGTATAGGCGAGTTTTTTAATTCGTCGATTAATAAATCACATTATGCGCAAATGCAACTTTGTTCTATAAAAACAGCATTTGCGCATTATGCGATTGATCAATCGATGAATTAAAAACTCATCTTTTCATCTTGCTTTTCTTCTGCTAATCACTAGAGTTGCGTTCGGGAAGCGCGCTATTAGCACTGTCACATCATTTCATCTTTATTGCTCGTTACATGTAAATTGAGGATAGACTGATGCGATAGTTCTAATAACGTGCTCCCCGAACTCAGCCTAGTTGTTTCTGAGTTCTCTAATTGTTTCGCTCAGCGATGACCATTATGTCAAGAATTATTTTACACTTTTACATGATCTATTGGACAGATATCTTACTTTTCTATTTTTTACAAGTTTTAAGAATATAAAAATATGTTTTTAAGGAAAAATACAAAATAAAGCTATACGATGCAAAAAATATCTACGTGTCATTTCTCGCCTCTCGTCACATAATCCATGTCATGCCGCAAGAAAATCGAGTCTTAACTAATATTTTTAAATATATTAAGACTAATATTACATTTTTTTGAACGAAAACAACAAATTTTTTAAGTATGTTGGTTATATAATTGGTTATATAATTAACGAAGTTTTCAGGTCTTCAAAATTTTCTATCTAATTAATCAAAAAACATTCAAAAATTGTGTTATATGACGAATGAAATATTAATTTGTGATGCTTGAGATCATCCCTGGTCGTCATTACAACTCATCAAAGAGATACAGATGCGAGGTTTCGGACGGATCATCTGCTGCTTTCATTATTTCAGAACAGCAGCTGGTTCCCGAAGGATAGATCGATGGGTCCGTTATTTGGGGAAATATGGTTATAGATTATTCTCGAAAACTTCTTTGAGCGAATTGCATATAATAACGAAGGTAGTTTGTTGAATATAAAGCGATAATTATTAAAAGTCACAGCCATTACGATAAAAAATAAGATTATTAAAGAATATTATATCTTATAATATTTTTCGATAGACATGGAATATAGACAAAGATCATCCGACGTACTTATATCAAGCTACATATATTTTGCTATATTAGGCTTATTTTATCGTATCTATAATTCTCTCAGCGATTATTAAGAAAATAGACAGTGTCCAAAGTCGGAACAAGAAGTTTTATATCAATTCCTGTCCTTTTATGTCAATATAGATTAACTTTAATTTATTATTATCTTTTTCCTTATTTTTTTTAATTGTAAAGAATAAATTAAATCAAAATTAAAGTTAATTTAGTAAGAATAGTCATTAAAGATTTTAAACATTGTGTCGATAGAAAAGTTCAAGAATGTGTGTTGATTCGATTAAGCATTTCTTTTTATATTTATAGTTTGGCAGAAAAACATTTTAGAATTTGTATTTCGAGTAAAACTTTTAATGCGTACAACTTTTAATGTTGAAAATAACGCTATTATGAAATATTCTTATTTGATACTTTCATTTTTTAATCTAAAAAATTTAATTTAAAAAATAAAATCTTTTACAGAATGTTTTTATTAGAAAATGTTATTTTAATTGCAAGTTTAATACTACTTTTCTATAACTAGAATTATTTATTATTTATTTGTTTAAGTTCTCTTAAATGTTGTTAAAGTTCTCTAAAAAAATTCTTATTCGAATTTGTACATTGATTTTGAATACAAGTATAAATTATTAGAACTTTTTTATATGGCTTTTTTAATAAAAATTTTAACTTGTTTGCAGTTTTAATATTATTTTTATTATTTTTATTATTTTTTATTTTGTGATTAAGAATTAGTTATTAAATTTTCTTAAACTATAATATATAAAAAAATGTGTAACGAATTTCCAACCAAATTTGAATACATAGATTATGATAGAAAAGACAAATGTGTAAAATTTTTATGGATGTAAAGAATTTTCCTTAAAATGTCATATCAGAAATTCAGATATTAATATTACGTGTAAAAGAGAATTCTACCAATTTACGCAACGGCAATTTTACAAGAATTTGTTTGCTCATGAGTGCTCTTATCGTGCGTTTCTTCCAAAATGTTGATAATCCTTCCTCGTATTTCCGCAATTATTGCGAATTTCTGCGTTCACTAAAAGGGAGATTTTATCTCAGTATTTTATCTCAGTTATTTGAGCACTGCAATGTACAGTAACAAAATCGACATCGGCGTGTAAATTTGCCGGAATTTTTATCAGATTATTATTGAATAAGATGAACAATGACTAAGTATGTAAAGCTAAGTTTTGAAGAACGAGAAGAGGGGAATTTTGCTTTCATTATCATTCTTTTCATCTCAACAATTCTCTCGAAAGGTAGGAATTTTCCAAATAAGAAAATTCCATACATCGATAGAAATACCAGCAGCGCGTGTTGACCAAGCTAGTGTATTGTATTCGTTGGAATGCACTTTTGTGTTTGAATGCACTAAATGGTTTTGATTCCACGAGATTTTCTCCTTTTCTAATAGCTATCGATATAAAAGTGCATTCCATACGAATATAATACACTGAAAGGGCATTTTAAGCGGATTAAGGGTGTTAACCTCATTGCGCACGCGCATGTGTATGCATGTATAGGTAAATAAATCTTGTCTGTTTAGCAATTTGACAATTCCGTAACTATCTAAATTAACTCGATAATTCACGAAAAATTTTACATTTGAAAAAAACGTAATCATTTGTTATATCTATTTTATCCTGGAAAATCTTACATTTCATCCCTGAAAGTTCAAAACAGTGAGAAAGAATATTGATGTCATCAATCTTGCTTCATTTACCATGAATTAACATAGATCGGATTGCCGATACATAGATTGTCTTTAGAAAGAAATTTTAAGAAATTTTAATCTATGTTTATCTTTTTTCTAGATTTTTGCATAAACAGGCGTATCATACGAGGAAAATGATGAAACTGGCACGAATCGGACACGAGGATTTAAACAATAAGTTGAACGACTTGCCTATGTTGACCGGAACATCATCAACCGACGATGTAGATTATACAGACTATCGCTTTGAGGCTGCAAGGTTGAATAGTTTTGTTGGTTGGAACGTGCCATATATTGACCCCCAGAAACTTGCGGCTGCTGGCTTGTATTATACCGGACAAGAGGATATAGTCAAATGTTTTGAATGCGGGACTGTCTTGGCTGGATGGTTAGAAGGTGATGACGCCATGATAGAACATCAACGATGGTCCGGACGATGTAGATTTGTTCGCAATATTGCCTGTGGAAATATACCAATTGGCATCGATCCTAGTACAGTACCATCATCTCATAAACAGTTACAGACTTGCGGACTCTACGGCATCAGATACATGCCTAATTCTGGTCCAGATAATTTGCAACTGGAGGAAACGACGGAACATAACCCAATCGAGATAAATAGTAAAGATACCGAAGTTAAAGTCTTCTACGATTCGGACTCAGACGATGTGTCCTTTATAGCTAAATTCGGTGATGTTATGAGTTCAAAGCAACCAAAGTATGCTTGCTACGAACAAAGATTACGTACTTTCGCGATGTGGCCAGAAAACAAGGTTCAAAAAAAGGAAGATTTAGCGGCCGCTGGTTTTTGGTATTTAGGCTATGGTGATCAAACAATGTGTTTTTTCTGCGAAGGATGCTTAAAGGATTGGATGCCAACAGACAACCCTGTGGAAGAACATTTCAAGTGGTTTCCCGACTGCGCGTTTATCAAAAAGGTATTAGCAAAAAAACAATTAAGAGAGAATGCCGATCTGCAGCCGTCATCTGCGGCATGAATGGATCATGGGAGACTGTCTCCATTTACAACTAGCGTTTATTAAGCGAACTATTTGTCAATTGAAACACGATAATGAGACTGTTTTACAATAGTAGAGATTCATGGTACATATTTAATGCTATCAGAAACTGGAACGCAGGTATCCCCACTACTTAATGTGGGATCTTATCACACATGCTTGATGTATAGAAAATTAACTAAATGTAACCTTGCATGTATGTGTATATGATGGGTAGAAGGGGAACTGCGACATACAAAGGAGCATGTGTGCGTTTGGAGCTTTGATCAACTTTAGAGAGTAGACAAGAACAACAATATTCTTTTTTTTTTCATGCTCTATTCACGCTGTCGGTGCTCGGCGCTATGTTCACTGAATCAGAGCTTGACGATTAAATTATAAAATCAATAACGCTTTACCGTTTGCAATTTTTGTACACAAATAGTACTTGTTATACAATAATAAATATACATATGTATATTAATAATAAACAAATAGTAAATAATCGATGTAAGAGAACTTATTATTTGAAAATAATATACATATATACATATAGTGTGTTGTATGTTGGATAATATATACGCGAATTATTTTCCTACATCAATTCTTCGTAATCAATTAAACACGTTTTGTCATCAATATACGAGGATAATGTACAACGTTATGAATGTATTTACGTTATGAATGTATATTTATAAATGACGCTTAATGACATGACTCATTAGCATATTAGTCTAGTATGTACGCAACAAATACACATATATACACAAAACATATACAAACACATTGTAACACGGATAAAACTTTTGTTATAAAATTCCAAATTCTATATCTGTAAGAAGGTTTAAATTGATATTTTTCATATAATAAATATTTATCTAAGCGTAATTGTGTATTTAAGAATTTTAAATTGTTTAGCGCAGATAATACATTTTTATTTTTATTAACTGATTGTACTGTATCATTAGTTATAGACATATCAATATTATATAATATATACTTATATATTTAATGCAAGGATATAATACTCCATAATCGACATAATATATTAATGAATTAATGAATTAATAATTGTATTATTACAAATCTATGATGTGGATTATAATCAAAATATGATTTTTATAGGGGAAATATTTGTAATTGAACGTTTTTGAATTTATGTATTATTTCGACTATTCATTTAAAATTAATTTTTCTTTATTACATATTGATTATATATCAATAGATTTATATATTTTTTTATTTACAAACTTGCATAACTGATTTATAATTATTATGTATTTTGTTGAAAACGCAATCTATTTTTATTTTCGAGAAATATTGAGATAAAATAAGATTAAAAACCGAGATAAAGATAAGAGATAAATGTTCCGAGAAAGATAAGAAATAAATAAAATTATCAATTAAAGATTTTAATCTAGATTGTCGTCGTATTTACAAAGAGTTTCAGTTAACTCGCGAAGTGTACGTTCAGGCATGTAAGCCTAGAATGAAAATAATCCAAAATATGTTTTATTAAAAATAAGAAATGATAATGATACATTGTACATATTGTACATAATCGCTGTAAAATGACTAATTGTACGTATCTGCTACTACATATAAGTGAAATCGATATGTGCATGAGTGATTACTATTATAAGTTTCAGGAGAAATAAAAAAAAAATAATTGAATTTTATATATTATTAATTAAATCCACTTTTAATATTTAATTTTTGATAAAATAGAAACTTTTCAATATACAATGGTATATTATATAGTATTCCTTAGACATCCGATAATTGTTAATGGGTCTTGAAGTCATTTTGAAATGAAAGTCATAATACCAAAATGTTATAATAGTTTTTTAAATGAGATTTTATATACAATAGATTCTCTTTCTTAATTATTATACAATTTTAGAATTTTTATTATATTTTATAATTATAATATTTTATATATTCTAAATTGATAATATAGACTGTAAGATCGAATTAATTATGCTTTAATATTAATGCCTGTTACGTCACGGTCTAAATAAAAAAATTGATTTCTTCCTACATGTGATCATTTACTAATGAAATGTGATGCGATGATATATTATATATTAATTTTGCGCCAAGTCTAGTAAGATATAGAAATACGCAGAAAAATGATAAATAATGATATGGCAAATAGCAATGCGTAATAATCAAAAATAAAATGTTTTGTTCATTATGATTTGTATATAATGTTTGCATATAATGCGTTGAAGTTCACAGAAAATCGAAAATCATGATTTTGTATAACCATAATTTTTTATTACAAAATAAATGATAAAGTATAAAAATTTTTATTATCTTTTTCTACTGATTACTTTTTTCTGTGATTTATACATTAATGTATATATATACTAAATACATCAACTTTTAATATTTTATTTCTTTTAAAACATATATTATTTACGTTAAACAGTTTATAGTTTGTTATATATATGTATATCATGTTATATACATATATTATTTCATATGTTCGAAATGAGAATTTTTATGTTTTATATAACTTAAATAAGTTATAATTAACAAAGCTAGATTTATTTAAAGCTAGAAGCTTATAAGCTAGATGTATAACGCATTTTTAATAAATAATTGTTGATAATCCTGACACTATCTTGACACAGTCCTGAAACGTATTCTAAAAATACTATAATAACATATTCTGAATCAATATTGATTACATTATGGACGTCCACAAGATTATGAACAGATATGTTTACGACTTTTTCAGGATGTCCCTGAAGATGCTTGTGGGATATCCTGAAGTCATCCTAAAGTCATCTTGAAATCATCTTAAGAAAAATTCATCCTCAGAATAGTCTGAGGCTGAATGGAGAACGTCCCGAGGACGTCTCGAGGTCGTAATGAGGCGCACATTTGCTAGTCCACAGGTCATCCAGAAATTTTTGTCTAAATGTTATGTCCTAAACATGTCCTACATATGTCCTGAGATATTTAGGAGTTATACAGGATCATCCTGAGGACTAGTACATTGATATAATACTTATACTTTTTCAAGACATCTTCAAGACATCCAAGGATATATTTATGACTTTTTTTAGTAAAGTCTTAAAATCTCTTACAGGACTATTTTTTAATTGTTTTTTAGACATGCATGCTGTCTGGATATTGTTTGATTTGTCTGCAAGGTCAATTTACTATTATTTATAACAGTTTATATGTTACGTGATTGCAAGTTTAAGGGGATGCTGGACTTGTCTGTATTATCAAAACGCAGTAACTTTTGTATTGCTGTCATTTTTTATTAACTTTATATATCTTGAAATCCTTTCGCATAATTAAAATTTATGCATTAATATGTGTCTAGCATATGAATTTCGTATCAAGAATGAGAACAATTTTTAAAATTTAGATTTTTTTATCATTTGATACTTTAAAATGGCATCCAAAGCTGCATCAAGTCGTGTCAATATTTGCTTTATATACAAATTTTATAGTCTGTATCTACAAAACTGATATTGCTAGACTAGAAAATTACATGAAAAAAACAACGTTGAGCTCTTAGATTGTAATACAAAAAATAATATAAAACTTTGTTCATATGTATATCATGTGTGTATAGAAATGTATGTATAAGTGTACGTGTGTATATATAAATGTATCTATGTATGTTTAGATGTGCATATGTGTGAACGTTTTCATCAGAGTTCGCTCGTCAGTTCAGGATATTCTTAAATAAAAATCATGTAAACGTGTTTATGACAGAAGCTAATAATTTGTTAATGAAAGAATATGAAAAAGCATTATTAAACATTAAATACTGGACCACGAACTATTTAATTTGAAGTTTTTAAAATTTTTTGAAATGGAAATTTTTATGATTGCATTGGAAAAAAATCATTGATATGACTTATATAAATAATATATATTGTAAAATAATTGTATAATAATATAAATAATACGCTATACTCGTTTAACTTATTTAATAATAGCATTTTTATTTTAATAATAGCATTCTTTATGTGAGATTGGCATCTGGATATATATTATGGCACAAAGTCTTTTTCATCCTTTTTTGAAATCTGAACGCAGAGTTAAGTATTTGTCTTCCATTCGCAGATCGCGATGATGCAAAAGGTCCCTTTGGCATGCATCTAAAAATAGATACCTCTTCATTCATGGTTAGAAACATATGGTTTGTATTAGGAGACGTAAATTTGTAGTGTTTACTCGTGATATTTGAGCAATGAATTCTTAAATAAATCCTGAATTATGAATGAATCCTTAAATCATCTTCCATTTCCTTGAATATCATACATTTATTATTAATATTTATGCAAATTTGATAAATAACAAAGATAATAAACAACAAAAATAGTTTTAAGTTTTAAT